TGTTTTTTAGGTTAATTTATAAAGATATTAACCTTATATTATCTTTTTTTAAATGGTGATTTGAATAAAAATTATTTTAAAAAGTAGTTCAACGTTTAAAATATAGTTAAAATTAATTCTTTATTAAATAATGTTGAAAACACAGTTCGTATCAAAATGGTTAAGTATTAATTGTAAAACTTAAACGTTGACTTTGACTTTGATCAAAATACTTATACAGTAGTACATGATCATTCTGGATTAGCGATACATGTATAGAGAGGATAGGCTTACACAGCAATGCACGCAACCTGTGTACTTTAAATTGCAAAAACTGTACTTTTTTAAATTCCATTTAAATCCAATCCCAAATCCCCCGGACTTTAGGTTCCATTTCTGAGCTATTTTTTTTCACTGAACTCCAACAACTCGAGCCTTGCCTCGGTATGTCCCCACACTCCATGCAAATGCACAACATACCCTCCTCCGAAAATCCTAACCACCATCCATGGCTTCCACTTTCCGCCCTCACCTTCTCTTTCTCCTACTCTTACCTCTCTCCGTCACTGCCAACCTCCACAAATCTAAAACCCTCCTCAAATCGAGTCTCCTCTCCTCCACAACTACATCCCACCTCAAAGACACCCCACCAACCACGTACTTCGAAGTCACCAAACCCATCAGACTTCCCAAGACCGAACCTTGCGTCTATCCCATTCTCCACCATGATTTCGGCTATACATATGGGAAACCTCCAATTCTAGCAAACTATACCGCACCTTCTCACTGCCCATCTCACGATTTCTCTAAAATTGTCCTTGAATGGAATGCCACCTGCAAAGGAAGGCAATTTGATCGGATTTTTGGGATCTGGCTAGATGGGGTCGAACTTCTTAGGAGCTGCACTGCAGAGCCAAGAGCTACTGGGATTATGTGGAGTGTCAAGAAGGACATAACAAGGTATTACACTTTGCTTGTTAAGAATGAGACACGAAGTCTTGCTGTTTATTTGGGTAATTTAGTTGATCGAACTTATACTGGCGTGTATCATGTGGACATAACTGTTTATTATTACCCTGCTGAGAAGAAATTCAATGACTTTGAGAGCAATTTGGAGAATTTAGCATCTGGGTATGGCTCTAGGGCTGATTTAATCTTACCCATTTCACGGAATTTTCCATTGAATGATGGGTTGTGGTTTGAAATTGAAAATTCCACAGACACTGAAGGGAAGGAAATCAAAATTCCTCAAAATGTGTTTAGGGCTGTGTTAGAGTTGAATGTGTCATTCCATGAGAGTGATGAGTCTTGGTATGGAAATCCACCAAATGACTATCTTTTGGCTAATAATCTTACTGACACAGCAGGAAATGGGCCTTTCAGGGAAATTGTGGTTACTCTTGATGGAAATGTGATTGGTGCAATTTGGCCTTTTACTGTGGTTTATACCGGAGGGATTAACCCCCTCTTGTGGAGACCAATTTCTGGCATTGGATCATTTGATCTCCCTACATATGATATTGAAATTACTCCATTTTTAGGGAATATGTTGGATGGTAAAACGCATACATTGCAGTTCCGTGTTACAAATGCTTTGAATGTTTGGTATATTGATGCCAATCTGCATCTCTGGTTGGATGGAAAGAGCACATATAATGAAGGGAAGCTTCTTCAGCATCAGGTTATGCCTCTTGCTATTTCCTATTCATCAGATTTCAAGGGTTTAAATGGAACTTTCTTGACAAAAGCAAACAGGTCCATATCCTCAACTGGATGGGTTAAGTCATCTCATGGCAAGATCACAACTACAGCCATTCAAAAGTTTAGTTATAGCAACTCAATGGTGATGAGAGATAATGGGAATGTTCAGATAGTGAATCAGGAGATCCATTTTGATGACAGTGTTCAGGTCAAGAAGCCATACACTTTCTCCAAAGCAAAGAAATCACGTAAGAGGTTTCTTATCAACTTATATTCCAACAATATGGGTCAAGGAAATAGAACTTATTTATCTGTAGCTAATGTTACGCTGGGATTTAATGAAAAGAAGTTCAGAGTCAGAGGTGCTGGTTTCAAAATGCCTGTCAGTTCTCTCGAAAATTTGCAGAATGGGCAGGGCATCATGGTTGTTAAGAACAACTTGGTTGTCAGTGGAGTCGGGAGTACCCAACAGAAGTACAGGTATGAAGGCAATAAATTTTGCTACTTTAGGAACATTAGCAGTTCAAACTACACCATTCTTAATGATGAAGTCAGAAATGCATGCAATAGAAGAACCCGATCCAGTCCTGGTTTTGGGCTTAGCAGCAGATGGTTACCTTCATTTTAGTTAAAAAATGAGAGTAGTAAGCTATTTGACTATGCATTCTTTATCACAGCTTCTGGTGATGGAATGAAGATGCAAGTATGTTCACAAATTTGGCTTCTTTTGTGTTGTAATTTGCAATCCCATCCTTTGAGTCTTCGACTTTTCTGTAAACCTGAAATGCAGAATAAGATAAAGCCTGTTATTGGAATGAAGAAACTCTGATCGTTGATATTTGGCTGTTGAGTTGCTTCAATGCTTATGCTGGTCTGTGGACATTAGATTGACATGTTTGTATGGAAATGGAGTTCTCTTCTGGCAAAATTCAACATCAAATCCAATTTTTTTGCCTTTGCCATGCTAAAATGGAGTTATTTGCAGGTGTTTCATGGCTGTATCCTTTACCAACATTCATGTTAGTACTGACTGTTATGTCAATGCTTTAGCTTCCATCTTTTGTTTCCTTTCCTAGCTGCTTCTTTTGGTGATTTATCCCGTTTATTTGAGTTTGGGTTGTAAAAATTTCTCAGTATCATATATTAGCAATTTTTACAATTGAATATGATATTTACTATTCTCTTATATATATATATATTGAAATATTAATGGTATTTTCTTTTAAAAAATACAATTAAGTTGATTAATTCAGTTGTTTTTATTAATCAAAATTTAACCAAACCAACAAAATTTGAATAGAAAATTTTAAATTATTCTTAAGGGCAATTTTTACATGGATATGAAGAAATAATT